ATTTAAAATACTTTGTTTTTGGTTGCTGCTTAAAGTGATAAGTTTGAAGGGTACATCTCTCGCCGTTAATCATTTTTGCCGTTGCTAATGGAAATGTGGGGTGGTGTAGATTGAAGACCTGATAATATTGTCTAATTGGACTGAAGATAAACAGCGGTGACTGCTCTATTTGTTCATTTGCACATAATAAGTGCAGTTCATTTATGTTTTAAATACAATTTTCCGTCATCTCTGTCGTTCTAATTATCTGCTTATTGTTGAGGAGAAAGCGATAACTTTTCATTTACAATTGAATGGGGAGTTTTTTTGACCGTACCCTTCGTTTTATGCTTTGTTTTTAGATTCTTTTTTATTTTTAAATCTTTGGAACTTTTTTTTTTGAAAGATTTTAAATTGTTTTCAATAGAATATGTGAATAAATAAGCGTATTCATTAGGGTGGAAAAGTTATTAATCATTACCTCTTTTTATGGAACATTATTCTGCTTTTTAAAAATGTTATGCTAATTACTCGGTATTTGGAAAAAAAAAAAAAGAATTTAAGTGTGACTGCATGTACCTTCATCTTCTTTATAGGAAAATACTGCCATAAATGAAATAGGCGAGTGGTTTTGTCAAAGGGAGGCATATTCGTGAGAAGTGCAAAGGACGATATTGACATTTTGCGAACAACAATTGCGACATTGCTTCATTATAATCGTTCATTGTGTAGGTTTTTTCCGAATATTTTCAAAATGTTTAATGTTACTTTTTGGTTCATAGATGCGTGGTCGAAGTGAATGATTGTCCAAAGGACGCTTTTTGTTAACTAGGTAGCTGAAAAGAACTAAACAACTTAGCTGAAAATTTTGTTTCAAAAATAACTACCTCCTTTTCAATTGGTTCATGTCACCTATGTGGTCTGTTTTTGAATTCAACGAAGCATTTATTCAACCAGCATTTACAGTAACATTAGTATAATGTACTGCTAATGACTGGCTAATTTTTTGGATTTCAAGTGGAATAGGTACAGTGATTGTTATGGTTACTGAGTCGCAGTCACTGAAGATGGCTTTTTTTATTTGATTTGCTGATGAAAGTTTTTTGTTAAGATTGTTATGGTCTTTTTTTTTTTTACTTTGAAGTTTCGGCGGGGGAAAATATGTGATATTGAACTAGGAAGATTTTCATTGATTGAGAGAAATATTGCTTATAAAAATTTATATAATGTTTTTTTTATTGAAGAATCTAGTTGAAATTTATTTCAGAATTACTACTGGGACGTTATTGTTTTATTTTTTTAAATCAGTAAAGGCGTAGCTGTGTTTTGGTTTAGTCTACCTGCCTATTTTCAAGGGTTGGAATTAGCAGTTTGGCTTGGACGAGAGTTAACATCTGTAAGCTCTATTTTTATTTATTTGCTTTTTAATTACATTTTTTCTCTACTGTATTAGTTCCCATTTCTGATGAGGTCTTTCATCTATTTTTTTTTTCATTAATTTTTTTTTGCGCAGTCTTTTTTGTAGTGAACCTGTTAGACGATCAAGTGGAGTAGTTTTCTGAGAAAAAGGTTATAACTATTGCATTTTCTCTAAATTGCATAACCGATAATGGTCTATTAGCTTTTCATTCTACTTTTTACTGTCAGCTGTGTGGGTGAACGACACTTGACGTATTCCCAAACGCTATGGAAATGTCCGATCAGTGGTAGGCGTTAATTTCCCAGCAAGAAAATAAAGGAATTATTTCTTTGAGCAACGGCACATTTTAAAAAGAAATACAAGTGCTGACTTATGGATAGCCACTTCTTTGACGTTACAGGTAAATTAAATGTTTCAAAGGGAAGGATTGATGTTACTGTTTTGACTGTGTTAATGGACAATTAGATTTTTTTTTTGCTTTAGCTGGATGGTTGTGGTAAAGTGTGACGACGGGAAAATTTTTTTTTCTGTAGATAATAACATTCATTTGAAAGTGAAGATTATAACTGTGCTGTGACGGAAGTTGTGGGTAACAGACTGGCTGAGAAGTATTTCAACTTTGTTTTTTCTCATTACTTTTCAAAATAGAAATACAACGACGGATTTTAGTAATTCAGTTTGACAACGGACTATAGGTCAAAATTTCTCAGAAATCAGTTTCATCAGCATCGGTCGCTTTCAAGAATGCTGTATTGAAGAAAGTGTCCGCAATACTAACTGTTTAAGCGGTGGGAACGGTTGAAAGAAGTGGTCAGCAGAGTACCTAATAGAAGATTTGAAAGTTGCTTTGTGAGAGGTAGAAAGCTGGTCTCAGCGATTAATTTTTTGAAAAAAATGAAAACATTAGGCAGTACCAAAAAGTAATTAGCTTGGAGAGTAGGTGGCGGATGGTAAAAGAAGGAACTTAGGAGGATTTAAGAATTAGCTGATATTCAGTCATTTTTGTTCACTAAGACTTAGGTTGTAGAAGGTAAGGTATTCTAAGCATGTGGTGGTCACTGTATTATAACGGAGTAGAAGAAACAAACCGATTTTAGGTTTTATCAGTCCCACAAATTATCTTCAGAATATCGTTCAGTAGTGTTCTGCTGATTGAAGGAATTTTGGTTTCATTTAAAATTTGTTTGTTTTTTTTTCAAAACTGGCTGTAAGTTATGTGAATTACTTATTTGAATGTTAGTTCATAATATTTTGAAATTGAACGACTTATTTGTCAGAAAAATTCTTCTCTTCTTCGCTTACATAAAAGTGAGGCCAGAAGAGAAGCGCGGTACAGTTTTAGGATTTGCAGCCGTATTGTCTTTGTTGTAGTATGTGTCCAGTAGAATTTGGTACATAAAAAAAAACTTCAGTTGCAAAAAATATTAAACGTCACGAGCTTATAGTTAACTGTCGACGTGTTTCCAGCTATCAGGGTGTGAGTGTAGTAATGAATTTACAGTGAAATTTTTCACTGGTTTTCCAGCTTTATTTTTGGAAAGTTTCTAAAATTTGGCTAGAATGATGACTAGTAGAGTTTTAGTTCAGAGTCATGGAACAAACTTTGTTTTGAAAGTTTTTACTTATTGGTTGAATTAATTAATTTGAGACGTTGAAGGCGCTTATATATACTATAAATTGAAATGACATTATATAGCGTAAAATGCGAACAGTTGAAAGTAGTAATGAAAGATGGGAATCACTGATTGCAAGTGAGGGCTCAAAATACTTTATGAACTTTTTAAACTTCATTTCTATAACAGTAACATTTAACAGCATTGGTTAAAAATCACAGTTAGTAAGACGAAAGTACATTTCTTTATAACAGATTATTCGAACTATTATTTATTACTTTATTTTGAAACAGTGATATGCGAATTAGCTGTGCTACATAGAAGTTTGAAACATTTGTATTTCATACTGCAGTTTTATTTGTTCAGGTTGGAGATTTTTTTACAAAAATTATATTGCATGTGAAACTATCAATGAAATGATGTTCATTTCTAAGAAGAATTTTTTTTTTAGGGTCGTCATGCAACAAAGAGGAATTGAGACTTTATTCTACAAAAGACGCTTTCTTCCTAGTTAAAAGGAACTCAGTGTTAAAGTGCTCTAAACTCACCGGAAAGCTTAGCATAGCTTTCGATCTTGGAGGTAATTCCTTCAAAGTGGTATACGACTAGAAGTCTTGTTGGTGAAAGGATTTGAAAATGCTGTTTTTTAAGTTCGGCATTATAAGTAAATTTCTGACTAGAACATGGTGATGAAATTTTTTTTGTTTGAGGAATTCCCCTATTTTTATGGTTAGGAATTCTGAAATAAAACCAAAGATTACAGGTTACGATATCAGTGAAATTGGTGTTGTATATGGACTGGTGGGTGTTATCCGTGTTGAAAATGTGTGCTTTCTGCTACTCATATTGAGCTTGAAACAAGTTGCGTCGTTGCCTTGTTCGGAAGTAAGTGCAAACGTTTTTAACCTATTCATTTCCCACAAACAGTTTTTTCAAAACGTCTCATTAAGCTAGTTACTATTTCAACTTTTAAATAAGATGCAAAAGAAAGATAATAATTGAATTAACAAAACTGCTTAGTGGGACATAAATATATTTGCGGGTTTGGTAATTAGTAAGCCTAAAAAAAAACATTGTAAAATTCAGCGGTTTGTAAAGTCGTCTGCGATTTTTAAAAATTATTTCTCAAACTTTGGAGGAACTTTCCACTTCTGGTCAAAGCATTTCTCCGATAATTTGTAGTTTTCTATGAAGCACCCTAGTTTACGATTAAGGTTTGCTTTAATTATTTTGTAAAAAGTTCGGGAGTACTGAATCATCCAATATCATAAATTCTAACTCTCATCACTTGTTTTTCGAGTCTATATTATCTTTAACTTTTGTTGTTATGTGTTTCTTTAAATTACACCTCTTTAATTTTGGGGTTGTAACGAGTGCAATATTTTTCTCTTTTTTTTTTTTTTTAGTTTATTCTGATTAATTTGTAGTTGTAGACTTTACTTTAAAGATTTGATTTGTATGCACTTGTAGTTAGATGGATTGGTCTCAGTGTTGTTTTACTTTTTTATTTTTTGATATAAACAACAGAACGTATTAGTTCACATCTTTTAAGGAGAAGATATATCGCATTGAAAGGGTCTGTGCCGTACCTGTATCGACAAGCGACCTTGGTTTTACCGTACGTTTATACACTTCCTAAAGTTTCTCGCAGATTTTCAGTCATGTATTTCTTAGTGAGGTCTTGAATCAAAGACTCGAAAATAGGAAAAAAAAGCAGAAAGTAAACTTCTGTTTAGAAAGTATAAGATGAAGTGTTTCTTTCATAAAGGTTGTAGAAGAAAAAAAATATTTTGAATTAAAGTTAACGGTTTTAGATAATGAGGGGTGGAGGATAAGAAGTTTTTATTAGCTGTTTGAAGGCTTTCAACCAAAATGTTTTTTTTTCAGGAAAATTAACTTAAAACTTGTCGAGTATCTACACTGGTCTTAGACAGTTTAATTTATTGCAGATCAATTTGAATAACTTGTGTGGACCGTTTGGCAGGTTAATGAACCAGCAAAATAGACTGTCGAAATTGGCCAGTGATAAACCCGTTTCAACTCGCATTATTGATGAAATACTTCGGCTTTTTAACAATGATGGTGATTTCTACGTTTCTTTTGGTCGGAACTTAACACTGAACACACAGAGGTCTTTCTTAATAATTTCGGCGTATTTTTTCTTTCATAGTAGATAGCGGCACGTGACTTTTGATTATAACGAAAGAGCCTCTTGTAATGATATTTGGGCTTTTTTCTTCTAGGCATTTTATGCTTTTGGTATTTTAAGCGTTTGGGAACAAAAGTTTGGCCTGCTGAACAGAACTGTATAGGATGTTTGATTTTTTGTTCTGTTACAAAATATGTTGGTTAACCGATATGAAATGACCAATTATTTTATTAAGTTACTGCTCTGGCAGCAAAGTGGTGGATAACCGTTTCTTCTGGAATCGGTTTTTGCTTAAGGATCTCTATGAAAATGATGTTGCCATTCGGGGATCACAGCCCTGGATTTCTCCAATATGTCAAGGTTTTGTTTGTGAAAGGTTGGTAATTTTTACTAAATGAACAAGATCTTTGAAAGTGTGATCCTGGTTTTAGTTTTATGATTAATAGGGGATTTTAAAAACTATGACTTCGTGTGCCGAACTTTGTTTTTTGGGTGATTGGAATTCCAAAATTTTTTGCAAACTTCCAGATCTACGACTCTTTTTTACTGAGGTGATGCTTTGCTTCGTAGTTGTTTTATTCTCAGGAAAGATGTTTTAAATAAAATTTGACTTGTCATTTCCTTACAGGCGGGTTGTTTGAATCTGTTATAAACTTTTTTTACAGCGTTATTTCCCTTGAAAATCATCAGCTTACTGTCACTATGATTTCGCGAAGATCTATTGAAAGAGCTGGAGTGAGATATTTACGGAGGGGCGTAGACGTTGATGGAAATGTCGCAAACTTTGTAGAAACGGAAGTTATCTTAACTGTTTTTGGGCATCACTTATCATATATTCAGGTAAAATTCTTTCATGTATGGTATTTGGATTTTGCATTTCGGAAATTTCAGTTTCTTTTTGCAGCAAGTTCTTCTAAAGTCAATTTACATGCCTTAATTTTCTTCAAATGTTAGATGAAGCGCTTTCGTGTTTGCTATAAGAGCGAGTTTTTTGACGATTTTTTTGTGGTGACGAAGTAACTTAAGATTCGTGGTTCGGTCCCCATTTTCTGGAAACAGAGAGGATTTCGTTACCGCCCTCCGCTCATTATCGATAAACCTATGTCTTCTTCGTTCCCCGCATTCGAGAAACATATGGATGGACTGGTCAATTTGTATGGATCACCACTGGTGGCGGTTTGCTTGCTGGACCAAACTGGGAGGTGAAGATATGGTTCTAAACTGCATATTTTTGAGCGTCATCTTTTAACTCTAATGTTTTAAGCTTCACTATTTTTTTCATCTACTGTTTTCTATCTCATTGCCAATTTATATCTGTCTTGAACCGTAAAATCGCTTAAGTCTGGATAATCTTCAGGGAATTGGGACTTGGCCTTTCCTACCTGCAACACGTTCTCGAGAAAGATTCTTCCAAATATGGTTACTACGCTTTTGACTTTCACTCGCAGTGTCGGGCGCTGCGGTTTCAAAAGGTTTTTTTATTAATTAAAAAATTATTCCTCCACTTCGAAAATAAAAAGTGGGAGAGATATTTGTACTCAAAACTATTCTTTCAAAGGTGGAAAATTTGGTCAATGCTTTGCATGATCAGCTGAAAACCATCTCTTTTTGTTGGGTGGATAAAACGAACCACATGGCTTGTGAGCAGTCTGGTGTAGTTCGAACTAACTGCGTCGACTGCCTAGACCGTACTAATGTTGTTCAGGTAACAACCGCATTACAGGTTTTTTATATTAATGGTCTTTTAAAATGTAAGCGTTTATCCGTTTCAGGGCTCTATTTCGCAAGCTGTATGCCTCCTACAGTTACGAAAGCTCGGTTTGATTGGTCCACTTTCTCAGTTGCCTGAGAACTTTGTACGGATGCTCCAAAGTATGTGGGCTGATAACGGTGATGCGGTCTCACGACAGGTTTGATATTCAGTTTAGAGCCTGTTTTTATGCTATTCCGCTCAGAGGAAGTAGTTCATTTTCCTTTATTTAGTATGCTGGAACAAATGCTTTAAAAGGTGACGTAACTAGATGTGGGCAGAGGGGACTGGTTGGAATTGTACGTGATGGTTACAACTCAGCTTCGCGCTATTATTATTCACACATGAAGGACTCACATAGGCAGATGACTATTGATGCTCTACTTGGTATTTTTTAAAAAATTACGGAATTTGAAGCAACTGTAGTTTACAGTAAAACGCGAGTACCATACGTTTAGAGTGATGTTAAAATCACTAGGATTTATCGATAAATAATATCAGTTTTCAACCTAAGTTAGGCTAGAGGCTTTTCCGATAATTCCAAGGTCTTGGAAAATAAACCATTTTTTAATCACTTATTTACTGCTTTTACCATGCTCTTTTCTGTTAAAGTCAACAAATCTTTCATAGTTGATCGTCTATAGAGTTTTGCGAAACAATCACCAACAAGTATTTATACTAAATGATCTGATTTTAATTTTTAAATACTAAGAAGGTTTCTTTAATTTGTCCGCCTAAAAAGACTAAATTTTGAGGGGATTTTGTGCAGTAAGCAAGGTTAGCGTTGCACATCTGTACAGTGTTGCCGAGGAACAAAATAGTGAAACATTTACTGTTAAGTAAAAAAATTTTTGAAAGAACTCGACGAGAGTGCACTCTATTTTTAATTCATTGAAAGTTACAAGTGGCTTTTGAATCGCTGATTAGACCACACTGGCTGGAACAAACTTAGAATTATTGCTGGGATGATGACAATTTTTTTTTAAGAATTCTACATGGCATTTTGGCCACTCAAGTTTGGTACAAGTTGGCAATTGTCGGTGGATGTCTTGGTTGGGGGCAGCTTCTAAAACGCTTAGTTGCCGCTAATTTTTGTTTTTTATCTCTATAACTTTAATTCGTTTTCAGTTATGTAGAGAGCAAAGAGGAAGAAATGAAAAATATTGGCAATTATATTTTTGATACTGTTGGATTAAGCAAGTAGTCTTTTTGATACGATAGTTTCACAGAAATTCTTCTGAAGAAAAATCTATTTCCTTCTCAAAGAATTTTTCTTATATAATTATTATTATAATACTTTAACTCCTGAATATTTGGATTTACTGCCTTACTTTTGTTTTCTTTTAGTTCTTTATACTTAGTAATCGTTGGGACATGTACAGCATGTAGTATATTTTAATTGTTCCCAACATTAGGGTATTGTTTCAAATGTAGTGAGAACTTCATCTGTTCAAAACAGGTTGATGTAGTTTGTGCTTACGTATCTTCTTAATCTGAAGTAAAAATAAAAAAGTCCTTTGATTTAGTGTAGATCAAAGCTTTACTCTTGAATAATATACATTGCTGATCTAAATGTTGATTGATATGCTGGAAGAAATGCCGCCTTACTGTTGCCAAGCTTTTGACGGTAAATTAAGTGGCTTCTTCTTAGGGGTTAAAAAAATAGGTACCCGTATCCGATTCGGCGCTGAGAAAAAGCGCTTTCATTAAGTTGTTTTAGTCCAACAACCCAGTGTTATGTTCAATAAATTTTAATGAAGCTCATTTGTAGGTATAAAAGTGCACTGTTTTGAAAAACAAAGAAAAGAGTTGAATATGAGTACATTTTACATCATAGGGAGGAAGACCTATATTTTATAAAACAACTTTACCGTTGGGACTGTAACGTGTGCGGAGGTCAGACTAGAATCCAAAGTACTTTGGGTGCATTATTTTTTTCATAATTTAAGTTCTTTCCAACGATAAATTTTTTTTATAATTTACTCGACAGTTATCCGCCATTTTTGGGTATTTCTTCAGGTCATCAAGTACTTAAAAGTAGGAATTTCTACCTTTAAGGAAAAAACTGGCTATATAATCTAGTAGAGCGCCAAAAGCAGTCTTAAATGCAACCCGACTTTGCAGTATTTGTCAGTAATAGGAAAAAAAATGGCTTTTTGCAGAACTACCAATTAGATGGGAAGAATAGGAGGAGGCTATGGTCTTAAACGCTTTATTTTTTTGGGCAGATAATGATTTGTATGAATGATTGTATTCTTAGATGAAGATGAGCCTTCTTTGATCTGCTCACTTCAGTGTTTTTTTCTTATATTGTTTGAACATGATCCCAATTTTGGAAAATAATTTTCTGCGGCAACAAAATTAAAGATCTTGATCAAAATAAGGTTTTTTTTTTTTGAAAATTGTTTGGAAAAATTTCTGCTTTTTGAAATTTTGTTGTTTCTTGAGTTTCTTAGAAAGTCATAAAAATCTGTTTGATGGGAGGCTTTTCTTGTCATACTTTACAAAAGTAGGGTGCATTTTAGGTATCCTCAGCTTCTGTGGCCATACTTTCCTATGAAGCATTTAGGATAGAAGGCTTTTTTCCACTGCCTGCCGCTTAGTTGATCACCAAAGCTTTTGAAGTATTCTTAGTCGATCTGGTAATCTTCATTTGGGAATTTTTAACTTTTTAATTAGTATGCTTCGTTCAAAAAGAACCGACTGTTTAATTACGTGCAATTCTTTGTCACTCTCTTGTAATTTAGGAAGCTACTGAATAGTTCTGTCTTCAAAAGTTTCTTGTCTTATTTTTAGTTACTGTCTGAACCTCTGCGACGTCATCTCATGGAAAGTTGCTTGCCTGAAAGGGCAGAGAATCAAGATGTTTTAAATTAGTATAAATGCTCGGAAGTTGTTTCAAATAAAAGTAGTTTTTAGGAGTAAAATGTGAAATGTAGTTTAGTGCTGATTCTTGATTTACTGGCAACTCGTAAATGAATTCGGGTAAATTCGCTTGGGATGGTTGAAATTTCGTAGGTAAACGAGCATATTTTGTATTTGAACAGGGCTGCATATGTGTAGATTTTTTTGCCAGCTGGGTTTTCATGTAGTGTTCTTTCTCACTTAGCATAATAGGACGAAGGCCGAGGTCGAACTGATTACGGATTGATCTTTTGTTATAAACTGAATTTTGTAATCTTTGTTGAAGTGCATCATGGTCACTATTTACATCTAGTTTCGACGAGGAATTAATGTTTAGGAAGTATTTCAGAACCTCTATTTCTTTGTAATATTGTAAGTGGTCTGTATATAACTTATTTTTTGAGAAACTTTACAGGCAGGTCGACAGAGCCTTCAACTGATGAATCTGTTGATTTGGTTGAAGAAGGTGAAAAAGAGGAGGATGAGAGCGAAAACATTGGACGGTTGGTGAACGAAACTGCACGTTTCCTTCTCAGTGAGAATGAAATGCTTGTTGGTGGTTGGGCACTAGTTGACAGTTCCAATTCATCTGATCAAGTGGACACGATTCTTCTACTTTCTAGGTTATAAAGCCTGCTGGCTTTCTTTGAAGTATTGCTTACAATCACATTTCATCTTCACTGTTCCTAGGTTATAGAAGGATTTGTGTCAATTATTTGTTGAGTTTGCTGACTGTTTTAAAGAAAGTTTTACAGGATACGGCTAATGCTTGCTTTTTACGACGATGAATCTGAAAGGTTTCTAGACTTAAAGTCTATTCAGTTTGATGAATTAAAATCTATTGAACTTGGACCTCTCGAAGGTTCAAAAAAAGTACATATGAGGTAGGTGCATTTATATAAGTGTTTACAGTGTTGATACAAACTTGCATCTTGTGACTGTGACATCTGTTGGAGAAACTTTGGATTTGTTTTACTTTTTAGGATTATTACTTCTACACCTCAGTACTATACTTTGAGAGCTCCAAAGACTCGTTTGTTCAACAATACAGCGATACCTATGAAAAGTGAAGAGGAGGCAAATGAGTACGTTCAAGCTATAGCAGAACAGATTAAAACTACGGTCAACCTGACTGGAGGGAACGTTTATTTGACAACTCTTCGAGTTCTGGGTAACTGTCCTCTGAAGAGAAGGTCTCTCCTTTTTTTTTGCATTTGTATCATAATCATAATTTTGAAAACTTTGTAATATGTCATCAGCCTATTGGAAGTGATTTAGGACTCGCATTATGAATTTGGTAACTTCGGTTTTTCGTCCATCGTACAAGGCGGATGGTTCTGATCCACTACCTAATGATTGGGTACAAACTGCTTTACGCGAGCATTCCAGCAAGACTGAACAAAAATCTTCGTCAGATGAAGAAACTTTTCAATTTTATGATAATCCAGAATTTTCTAGCGAAATCCAGGTAAATGAATTAAAATCGACTTTACATCGAGGAGTTTTACGGTTTTTTGGAGTATTAGATGTGGAGCTAGAAAGAGCTTATTATAAAAAGAATTTTGTTTTGATATTTCTCGCTTATTTTCTTTGTTCTTCGACAGAAAATTTTTCCAGAAATCTGACTCAGATTCTGTTAATGCGGGAAAGCAATCATTTTTTAACAAAATGAGTAAAATCAAATCGTCGAAAAGTCAAACTGCCATTGATTTACTTCACGGCGGCGAAGCTTCTCCATGGCTGGGGCCCTTTGCCCACTATCGGCAACAGATATTGAATTCGAAGTCACGAATTATGCTTTTATAGAGTATTATCAAATCTGCTCAGTGATTGTTCAAGTTAACATGAACTGTGTGTTGAGCTTTCGTTTATATATTAAAAACTCTAGTCAAATAACTGATTTTCTTTTACGTTGTTTCATTTGGATTTTTTTGCTTTAGCTACGGTTTCTCCAGTACTAGAGCTATCTTTCTTCCAATAAATTTTGTAAAAATTCGTTTTACGGGCATTTTCTTGTTCAAGGCGTAGTTTATAAGTGTGCTTTGTATTTGTTTCTCTGTTTATGTTTCGTGATAGCTTAAAGCAGCATGCTATATTTTAATAATTTTTCAAGATTAAGATGAATTGATTGTCTGTAGAGGTCGGTTGGATCTCCTTTTGTTGAATGAATTTGATCTTTGGTTTACCTTTTTTTTATGACCTCTTGAGAGTAAGTCTACCTCTTTATAACTGTTTAAAATACAAGGCTCTTCGATCCAAAGCTGTACATGGTATTTTTTCAAGTTTTCAGTTATTACCTGGTAAGATACGTTTAAAGCAAATTTGATTCTAGTGTTATTTTAGTGAGTAATCAGAGTAAATAACATTTTTATTTTCGACTATGTTAAAAAACAATTAATTTTGGCGGATATTTGTCTTTAGATTCATGTGAAGTAAGTGGCATTTACTTCTGGGCTTTAATGTCGGCGTTCTTTCTGTATAAAATGTCTGTTTGATATGTATCATCAGTTGGCTGATTTTTGTTGTTTATGCTATTTTGTGGTCATTATTTTGTTCTTTTCTCAAATATTCATGGGAATAATAATTTTTTTTTTTCTGAAGAATTAATTTGATTGATGAATTTTAATTGTAGTTTTGCAGCACTCAGGAATCTCGGTCATTCTATTTTTTTTAATATAAACCTGCATATATTGTAAAGATATTGTAACTGTGGACAAATTGTGTTAAATACGATTTTTAAAATTATTTCATGGTATATATATTTTCTTTGGATATAATGTAAAGCAAATTGTTCCTTTTTTTTTCCTGTTTCATAAATTTTTCTTAATTTTTATATTGTATTTTACCTCGCAAACAGTTTATTGCAGTTATTTTTTTTTTTTTTTGTTTGCTTTAGAACTGTTTGGTATCAAAATTGATAAGCATAAACAGTTTTGGATGTTATATTAAATAAATGGTTTGAAAAAAAAAAAATTCTTT